ACTACAGAAACGAAAGCCTTTCCTAAACTAATCTCAGAATGGAGAGAGCACACATAAGCTGTTCCTTGTCAGTTGTCACATTCTTTTATTCTTGTGTGCATGTACTCTTTTTAACACTTACGGGAAACTTCCCTTTCCTCGGTGCCATTCGATACATGAAAACGAAATTTGATTAAAAAAGTGCATCCAGACATTTTCTCAACAGTGGCTACAAGCTCAGGATTGTATCATCTTTACAGCTTAATAACACCAGACGGGCTGTCACTCCACGCTAAATTTGGGGGGGAGTCCATGTGCAGACAGTTTCCAAGTCTCCAGATTGAAGTTATCCAGTTCCAAGTCTTGTATAAACTCCATTCCATTAAGCAAGCTTAACCCAGCATTATTGTGACACATAGAAATTAATTTAATAATCTGATTCATATTATGGAGGGTCATGGTTCACAGTGACCTACCTCCATTTGTAGCAGTTGTTGCGAGAAGGTCCAGTCCGTGGCTCAATGGGCTGGTGGGCCAGTGCTCTACGTGTTGAAATCAGTTAACCTGATCAACTAGCTTAATACACCTACTCACAAGTCATTTCCAAGAAATGCGTACAAAAGAAGAGCGTATACAGTGGTTGCGTCCATTTCTAGAGTACAATACAGAAGATCAACAGTGATGTATGCAATGACATCCAGAGTTTGACATTAGCATTTAACAATATGACCAAATGATCGCACAGCTAAGAAGATCTAGGATGAGATCTAATTCTAATTCTTAGTGGCAATATATAACATCACACAGATACTGTAGGATTTATCAAAGATATTGGGAAGACAGCGAGAACGTGGTAAAAACCATTAGATTCTAGTATTTAATGACGTATTGAAGATTGGTTTCAGACACTTGGTTAGGCCAGACAGATCCTTCGAACCTCAATCTCTATCCTCTCAAATCTAGAGAAGAGCCCTTCTGTTCCTGCATACTGTCCTTGAAAAGGCCAAAATTCTGACCTCGTGCTTCGTCAGTTTTGTTTTACACGGACTACTTGTAAGAAAAATAAAATAAAAATCTGCAGAGAGAGATGGGAAACATCCTGTGAGCTTCATGGTCATTCTGAACATATACCTATATAAACCATTGACATAGGATAATAAGTGGTCTCTGGAAAGAATAATTTTAAGCTTTTCTATTTTATATTCAACTACTACTTTTAACAACTTAATAAAAACAAATAGAGGTAAAACCAGTATACTATTTTTCTGTCTGCTTCTAACTTCCGCCCTGCGTATTTAAGATGACTCCTGATGGTAGCTGAGACACATTCCAGCATTATCTTCTCCTTCCTGTCCATTCTTCCCACGTTTCCTACGTCGAACTCTTCAAATTTCTAGTAATCTTAGCCTTCCATTTTCCTTCTGTCAAAAACATATCAACATTACAATCTTCTTCTCAATCCAGGATCTTCTCAGTTCTCTGTACTTGGACACTTATATTTTATCAAGATGTGGGCTTTGTTTTTTGGAGCTTTGATTATTATAAGCATCACACATTGGGTTCACCGCTGGAGAAACCCCAGATGCAATGGCACTCTTCCACCAGGTTCAATGGGATTGCCACTTATTGGCGAGACCCTTCAATTCTTCGCTCCTAATACTTCTTTTGATATCCCTCCCTTTGTCAAAGAAAGGATGAAAAGGTAATGTTCTAATGAATCACCAACTTGATCAAAAAGTTGTGCTTTTATCATCTCCATCATTTCCTTCTGAAGTTTTTGCTGTTGTTTTCAGATATGGACCAATATTCCGGACTAATTTGGTTGGAAGGCCAGTTGTAGTATCAACAGACCCGGATCTCAATTACTTTATCTTCCAACAAGAGGGACAATTGTTCCAGAGCTGGTATCCAGATACATTCACAGAGATTTTTGGAAGGCAAAATGTCGGCTCATTACATGGGTTCATGTACAAGTATCTTAAGAATATGGTGCTTAATCTTTTTGGTCCAGAAAGCCTTAAGAAAATGCTCCCTGAAGTTGAACAGACAACATCTAAGAGATTACAACTGTGGTCCCATCAAGAGTCAGTTGAATTAAAAGAAACAACTGCAACTGTAATCTCATATTATCCCTCCTCTCATAATGGGAGTCTTCAAAAGTTGTTTATACTGAATCTAATAACAATCTTGATATTTACAGATGATATTCGATCTGACAGCAAAGAAGCTCATAAGTTATGATCAAGATAATTCTTCGGAGAATCTAAGGGACAACTTTGTTGCCTTCATACACGGATTGATCTCCTTCCCTTTGGATATTCCAGGAACAGCATACCACGAATGCTTACAGGTAAACTGAAATCTGTCATACTAATCATATAAATCCATCCTTTCATTCTCTTAACAATACTCGAGCATTGGAAAAATAGAAACTCAGGCCAACTAGAAGCAAATTATTAGGTTCAAAACGTTACCAAGCAAGGGCCATGGAAAAAAAAAAGCACCCTCAGAATCAGTAAAGCACCAAATCAATTCTACAAATAATAGCTGACGTTCAGCGGTCCAAATTTTTTGTCTTAACTGTTCTATGAATTCTCAGGGTAGGAAAAAGGCAATGAAAATGCTAAAAAACCAGCAACAGGAAAGACGAGCAAATCCGAGAAAGTACCGAAGTGATTTTTTCGATTATGTGCTTGAAGAACTTCAGGAGGACAGAGGAATCCTTACAGAGGAAATTGCTCTGGATTTAATGTTTGTGCTGCTATTTGCTAGCTTTGAAACTACTTCCCTTGCTCTAACTTTAGCCGTCAAATTTCTCTCGGATAATCCGTTGGTGCTAAAGAAACTAACGGTCTGTGAGAAATTTATTAAAAATTGCATCTCCAAAATTTTTAATTTTTGCTTCAAAACCTAACATACACTAGAAGTTTTCACTTATCCCAGGAAGAGCACGAGGGAATTCTGAGAAATCGGGTAAATAGCAACTCTGGTCTTACATGGAACGAATACAAATCAATGAAATTCACATTTCAGGTGGGTCAAGCCACCAGTTGGATATCATAATAGTAGCTTTTTCTGTATTATAACTGACAAGCTCAACTTGCAGGTAATTAATGAAACAGTTAGACTGGCAAACATAGTTCCAGGGATTTTCAGAAAAGCACTTAGAGACATCCAGTTTAAGGGTATGTGTTTGCCAGCAGTACTTTAGTCAGTTACTGTAGTGCACCAAGCCTTTTTCACGCAAAGAATGTTGTATGCAATTCAAAGTATGATATAAATTGGCATGATTCAGGATACACCATTCCAGAAGGTTGGGCAGTAATGGTTTGTCCCCCTGCAGTGCACTTAAGCCCAGAAAAATATGAAGATCCACTTGCCTTCAATCCATGGAGATGGGAGGTGGGTTTTACTTGAGAATTCCTTATACTTAATCACCTGCGATATTTCAATACTAAAGGAGCTGTCGCCCTTCTAGCAACCACCTATTTCCTATTATACTAAATCTTCTGTGTCATCAAGGGATTGGAATTAAACGGTGCATCAAAAAAATTCATGGCTTTTGGTGGCGGCATGAGATTTTGTGTTGGAACAGAGTTTACCAAGGTGCAGATGGCTGTATTTCTACATTGCCTAGTCACAAAATTCAGGTAATAGCATACGAGCCTTTTCATGCGTGAATGAGCAACTGAATGTCTTTCTATGAATGTTTATTGCAAGAACGCGAAAGAGTGCATCTATGTGTCCATGCATGCGCGCGAGAGAGAGACAGAGACAGATTAACCTTCATTACTATTTAAACTTTTCAGGTGGCAAGTAATCAAAGGAGGAAATATTGTTCGGACTCCTGGTTTACAATTTCCAAGTGGTTATCACATTCAGCTCATGGAGAGAGACAAAAAAATACAACTCACGCAATCATATACCCAGTAAGGTAAAGGCAGGTCACGCCCATGGCTAGCGGCGCTGAGAGATTCAAACTTGGCATTTTATCCATAGGGATTGCAGTCAACAAGCTACAAGGGAGGATCATGGTTAATGTAAGGATACTGTGCAGGAGGAACGGGCAGCTTTGATTTTCACTCCTCAAGCGGAGAAAAAGCTACAGTTTTTGATCACGACCAAATGTGATTTTACGTCCTATTTGTCATAATATAATTTCTGTAAAAGAAAGCAGGTCGAAGGAATATATCCAAACCGCAATGAAAATTTACTTCTAACAATTAGTGTGAATGATTTAGTCACATCCTTTCCATGAGAAAATGGCTCCCAGTACTGCAATTTTACGTCCCCCCAACAAGAAACAAACAAAACTAGAGAAATTTAAGTTTATAAAAAATATTTTTTTATAATCTAAGAAATTATTTTGACTGGCCCACTTTGTACCATCTCCCCTTTCAAAGTTTTGGTATTATTTGAACCAAATTTTAATTTTATGCATTCTCACCAAATAAACAATAAGTTTTTTTTTAGATTTTAGATTTTTTCAAAACATATAAACTAAAGGTTATTTAGAATTAATTTCTCAATTCATTCCTAATTTAATTTAATTATATTAATATTAGATTAAATTTCAATAAAGTTTTAACTTCAAAAATAAATAAACCTTACCTTTTAATTTGAAATCAAATATACTCATTAACCATGATATATACAAATTTTCCAACATTTTTTCACTGATCTGTATCCCTTCCTGAATGCCCGTGCCTATGCTCTTGATAAATGCTTCTTCGCTTATGACCATTATGTTGTTGTCTTGGTCCCAACTCACGATCTCCATTCACATCTTTTTTGTGTCTCCGTGTATCTCTGATTCCCTGCTCATCATCCCAAAGATGATCTTCCCACCAGTCATAAAGAGGTCGAAAGTCCTTTCTGATGCAAAAGCCATAGCAGCACAAGCACTGGAACTCAAAAAGTACAATGCAGTATGCGCTCCTTGTTAGCGCAAAAAAGTAAAAAAATTGATCCAGTACTGTATAAACTACGTTTCCTTGAACAAAGAAGGTGTTACCCGTTGGAAAAATAGCCAAAAGCAGTCCAAACAGCACGATCAAACTCATACATATACATATTGTATGTGGCAACTGCAATCAAAGAAACTGGAGCATTTCAGTCTGCCCGTAAAAATGAACATTAAGATACATCTGTAGCAAATTAGTTTCAAGACCAAAGGAAAGGAACTTGATCTCGCGAGCTCATCTAGACGGCTAAAAAATCAGTAAAATGGCTAGTGGGTTTGATTTGAGCAGCAAAAGGCTAACACTAAAATCAAAATGACTACTGCCTTGAAAATTTAGCATGTACAAATAGAACTTTCTATTTCACCACAATACCAGCAGAAATCTCAAGATGCACAATTTACCAATATATATGTTACTTCAGGCATTTAAGTTCATAATATCAATGAAAATGCTAAATTGCAGATAAATGTCCACAAGCCAAAGGAGTTAGAAAAAAAAATGTCCTAATGAAATGGGCCAAAAAGGGAGCAAAATGCATCCAGGTCCACATCACTAAGCATAGAGAAAGGAAATCTCTTGAAAAAACAATCCTTTTGGTCATCCCAATCCAAATCAACGGACAACTACCTGCAAACTTTTCCGGAGATGAAGTCTACTAAACCTTCCCAAATTCCGTTCCAAATATCTTCAATAGATTCGTGGGAGGAGCTTGTTCCCTTTCTCCGCACCTGGGTTTGAACCTCACTATACACGCCTGTCATTCCCGCGGTGCTAATGGGCAAAAAAGGGAGCAAAATGCATCCAGGTCCACATCACTAAGCATAGAGAAAGGAAATCTCTTGAAAAAACAATCCTTTTGGTCATCCCAATCCAAATCAACGGACAACTACCTGCAAACTTTTCCGGAGATGAAGTCTACTAAACCTTCCCAAATTCCGTTCCAAATATCTTCAATAGATTCAAAGAAACCGTTTATGCATCAAAGCAAAATGATTTAGACTACAGATTTCTCTGCCACCATAGTTACCACTCACAATGACAAAGAAAAGTTGCAATAAAACCATTGTATTAACCTTACCAGCACATACAGATCATGCAGCTTTATCAGTTGCTGGGTAAATTTTAAATGACCGAATTGTAACCTCGCTCAGCTTCAAAATGAAGAATTGTTCTTGCAACCATTGAAACATTGAAATTGGATTGTATCCTTCACCGAGTGGTTAGGAATTAGAATCTATATGGTAGTTAATGTTACCTCCATGACCACAACACCTCTTGAGCAGTCAAACTGCAAGGAGGAGACAATCATTATAATAGCTAGAAGTAGAATGTGTTGCAGCAACCACTCCTTAAGGCATCACATGTATACAGCAATGCATAATAATGGTATGCACTTACCAATATCTAATTTGACCTCTCATTCCAGTCAAAGTCAAATACTATCAACAACATACATGACTTAGATCTTGTCCTTCAATTCTCTCACATTTTTAGAAGTATCAAACACCCCATACCAGAAGATTTCAAAACATAAAATTTTGTGGGGATTCTAAAACTGCTTGATTTTATTCATGCCATTGTTGAAATACTGAAGAAAGGTCTAAAACATAAAATTCCATCAATGTGAAGTGTACCACAAAAAAACTTCATAATGCATTAAAAATGCACCCTGAAAGTAGAGATATCAAATTGGTGTATAATTCTTAAAAACTGGCCAAAGAATGAGGAAAAGGATGAACGAACAGAATATAATCAACAAAAACATATCATTATCTTATAGCAATGTGATCCAAATAGGAGTAAATATTGCATCAGCAAGTGTCATGTTTAAGCAATTTAGCATCATGACCATACTTGCGACAGCAATTTTTAAAATACCGTTAAGCTATATGATGCTTCCACTTAACCAATATTCTTAGCAGAGACAGTAGCGACGCCAAATTGAGTAAGGGTTTCAAATGTCGGAATAGGGACACTTAACAGTTTCCCTGGGCTACTGCAAAAGAAAGGAAATTGAGCTCAACAAATGGACATCCATGTACAAGCAATGCCATAACTCAAAAGTTGTTGAGCTTGCACTAGGTGATAAGCGAAGAAAGTTCCTAATCTTTTCCAGTTGGTGCAACAAGTAAAATTCACTGCACTAGTGTACAAATTTATACCGGTAGTTGGGATCGTATGCCTTTCCTATTCCGCAACTCGTGAATACAGTCAGGCTATAAGTCGACATTGAAGTGATTTTAGATGTTTGCAATAATGATCATGCTACAGCAAACATGATAAGGGGATCTAGGCATTAAGAGAAGTGGCCCCAGCTTTCTAGTTAATGTTGCGCCTTGTTTATCTGTATAACAGATGAGCAACAGCCCATGAACCCACAAAACAAACAGAGTGTGGGTTTAATTGTAAACCCACGAGCTTAGTCCATGCTGCATAATGCATAAGGAAAGCTTATCGCCGATTGTTTAAAATCATGCCCCTGGTTACAATCTTTTAACATCAGAAACTTTCAGTAGCAGTAAGGATAAGTAAACCTTTGGTAGACGTATCCAATGTCATCAGTGGTTAGTTCCGTCAGAAGGTTTGTGTTAAGAATTTCAGTGATTCCTATGGAGAGTGAAGGAGTCCCTGCATTCTGCGGTTGAATCAAATTAGCTATGAAGTTCAAATAGTTTATATATTGTTGAACATCAGATCTACAATTGCGGAAACCCATCAATAGCTGTCCAATACCAAAAACATGGAACCTAAGTGAATACTGAAACATTAGCTTTTCATTAAATGAAACATTTGTAAAAGTTAAGAGGAAACAATGTCTAAAGACAGCAAAAAAGACTAAATACTGAACTACCTATGACCTGTTCTTCAATAATATTCATGGCAATGCAACCACTCATCCTAGAGCTAAGCCAATCCAAATTTACAAACTCGCAAACAATACTCTTCTTACAAACACACTACTCGTCTATATTAAACATGTGAAGTTCAGCAAAAAAATGAGGATGCCATTGAAAAACAGTGGATGCTTTGAAGATTTTTCATATACCTATTATGAAAATATTGTGAATAATTCATATCATACAATAATCAAAAGACAACAAGAAAAGATCGTGCTGGACTTGCTTATTGACACCCATGCGTGTTCATCGGAATGGCAAGAAATGCCACTTCTAACATCTATAATCAAGTATTAATTACTGAACTAAAAAAAAATGCTTTGCATGCCCTAGTGCTACATTTTATTGTTTAGATGGGGTTTTGCCAGCAAAGAAACATCAAAAGGAAAAAACAATGTAGCCCAAAGGCCATTCCTACAAATAGTCCAAAATAGTTGCAATGAGGCGGTCAGTCCAGGGAGCATAAACATAAAAGAATGGAATCTATTCTCACAACCTGCAACATTTCAATTACTTTCACAACAAGAAGAAAACGATCAGAGAAACAGTCCAAATGAACATAAAAGCTTTGATTTCTATGAGAATTTTTTAAAAAAAAAACATTTCTTGCAGATATTTGTAGGTCACTGACAGTACCTATCTATATAAGCGTCTACAAAAACAGAAAACAGCAGCACTTTGAACTTTTCTTTCAAGAAGCTTCTCACATGCTTTAATAAATTGGAAAAGACAACTAGGGTCAAAGGAGACTTGATGGGCAGAAAAAAATAAAACAATTGAGCAATGCATCAACAAGAAAAATGAGCTTAACATTACAGTCTATAATCACGATGAATGAATGGGGCCAGTTAGAATAAACGCAGGAATCGCTAATTATCTAACCCATACACTGCTTAAAATATGAAAAATAACTTATTAATATATTTTTTAAATTTATTAAAAAAATAAAAACTAAATCTAAAAGATAAATTTTTTAAAAAGAAATGAAATTGTAAAAAAATCAATTTCATAAATTATTTTAAATAAATAATAATTAAAATAATAAAAACCAATTTTGACAAATAAAAAAATTAAAAGGGGGATAAAATTAAAATAAAAAAATTATAAATTATTTCAAATAAAATAAATAGCAATCAAAAGAATAAGAACCAAGTCTGATAAATAAAAAAATAGTTAAGAAAATAATAAGATAAAAACAAATAACAATCAAAGGAATGAGAGTCAAAGTTGATATAAAAATTAAATTAAATTAAATTTCAAGGGATGAAATTGAATAAAAAAATTCAAAATAAAATATATAATAATCAAAATATTGAGGACCAAACTTGATATAATCTGCAAGTAATAGGATATTTTTTAATTTTCTACAACTTAAAAAAAGTGTATACATACTAAAATAATAAGAAAAAAATTTTATGAAAAAAATGCCAATTTTTTTAAATTAAAATATATTTTTTATTGACCAAATTTTTTAATAATAAACAAATATATAAAAATTTGAAAAATAATTTTTAAAAAATCACTTTTCTTAAAACTAAACAAATATATAAAAATTTGAAAAATAACTTTTAAAAAATCACTTTTCTTAAAATAAACAAGATTTACGTCACAAGATAAACTCCATTCTTTTCAATGTAGGATATAGCTTTTAGAGAGTTTTAGTTTTCATTAAAATATATCAACCAATTATTATTTCAAATTAATTTTTTATTCACTCCAAAATATATCAACCAATTATTATTTCAAATCAATTTTTTATTCACTCTTAATTTATTTAAATCATATTAATATTTCAAAAGTTTACGTTGAAGATAAAATTCAAATAAATTTTTAACCTCAAAAATAATTTAACGTTACTTTTAATTTAATCTTAAATATATCTATTAATTATATTTTAAATAGATTTTTCAATATGCACATCTCATCCAAAATTTGGGTAAGAAATCAAGAATAATCCAAGATCTTAAATGGAATAAAATTATTATTTTTTCGTTTTGTTTTTTTAAATGATATAAAATACATCGATTATTCTAACTAAAATGAAATAAAATTAACAATCTTGATTATGGAGCAAAATTGAAGGTATTTAATTACTTGATGGTACAATATTACTTAGAGTGGCAATATCCATGAGAATCTAATGGAGCTTCTAGTTGGATTAGACTTTATTTGTTTTCATAGTAAGATGTGATATGGTTTTGTTTTATCTTAATTATATATTTGAGAGTAATTGATTAATCAACTTATACTTAAGTCTTAAATGAATTTTAACTAAAAACTCCCTTATAAAATTCCAATAAGAAATAATTAAAATTAAATTTTTTTTAAAAATACATTTTCTTCCAATCGGAGCTAGAAAAGCTATTACGTTGCGGAACACACTATCATGAGATGCGAAGTGGCAAAAATCCATATACAGAGTGGACGTTTCATAACACACAGCGAGGTCCGATGCCGTCATTTTCTGGATGACAACGACTTAATGCCAAGTGAAGACGCCCACTTAGATGCACATGGATTGTCCACGTATGCAAATTTTTGGGAGGGGAGAAGGCCACCACACAACTTTTATTCGCTATCGCTTCATCTTCAATCTTCTTGCGCCAGTCCAAAACTAGATTCCCCAGAGAGGCAGCGTCCAAGTTTCCGCATGCCTTTACTGAAAACGACATCTAAATTGCTATTAGTAGATCATGCGCGGTAATAAATAAATCTTTGTTTGATTGATAATGAGACGACGTTCCACAAAAAAAAAACAGAGAAAAAATTCTTTAATAATAAGATGAAATTAAACTCTCAATATATATTTAGTGTTGAACAAGCTAGTATTTGTTAAAGGAAAAAACATTTTATGCAATTTTATTTTGAAAGAAAACCCATGATTCCCAGCTCCTTTTATTTTTCTTAATTTTGGGTAAAACATTAATTGTCAAGGAAGCTCCAATTGTTCTTGTTTGGCTACTTGGAAATATCAGCTCAATTTTGAGAGGAGAGGATGATCAGCAGAACATTATTGTCAAGTAAGCTATATATAGAGACGGTAATTAACAATTTAGATTAAAACGTTTGGATTCTTGTATTCCTGGATTCGATATTTATGCATTTGATTTTTTTAATGAATTTAATCATCTGGTGGGGTTATAATGGGAAGAAAAATTCAATTGAATTGATGTTTTTCTATTAGGTTATATTTGGTATATCATATAAGCATGTTTAGTTGAATATTTGTTAGGGGTTAACAAGTAAGTGGGGGTGCTAAAAGTCCAAAATCGGTGTATTTTACACTCCACACAATATTAATTTTTTATTATATCCCATCAACCACTATTAATTTATTTTTTTATTTTTTCCCACTAACGCTCAACACTTCATTTTATAAATATATATATCACTTTTATATCCGCAAAATTTGCTTCTATAATAATCATTCATGTGGCAATGTAAAGGAACACTTAATTTGGACATATATATACATATATCAAACAACAAGAAACATAAGAAACAAAGGTTGTCTCACTTTGATCTTGCTAATTCACATCAATTTAACTTTATTTCGAAATAATAATTGCTGAGCTAGTGGCGTTTGATTTCTATAAATCACTGAATTGATACAAGAATTCTAATTTGACTAAAGCCACCTTCACAACCTGGAGAATGATTGAATACGTTTCTGTGTACCAAACCGGAAGCCGGCAAGGTCATCATGTAATTTTCTTCATGAATCTAAGGACATTTTTGGAATAAAACAAAGACAAAACACGCATTTTTATGTTGATAGGCCTAGGGACAAAAGGGTCTTTTAAGTGTTTGTATTGTGGTATCGGTTGAATTTAAAAATAAAATAAAAAAATATGTTAAAATATCTATTTAACATTTAAATAATTTAAAAAAAAATTAACAATTTTAATTTTTGTTTTTTTAAAAAAAACCATTCCTTTTCAAAATCAGAGCCACCACTGAGACAAATACTTTAACCACTAACAAAACCTCTCCTCTCTTTTCCGTTCATGCTTTGCGTTCCCAACGTTACACCTGTCCACACCTGATAGCTTCTTTTTCCGGCCATCTACACGTGGCAGGGTTTAAGATTCCATCACTGCTATAAATATATGTAAAAAAACAATTTAAAAAAAGGATGATCACCTTGGTAATAAACAAATACTGCTTTGTCAAGAGATCACACCACCACAACAACAAAAAACGATGCGAGTCTCCGGCGAGAAAAATGGCGGCGGATATGACGAGTCTGGAACGAGTTTGTACCGAGTTCTGGTGGATCGATGCTCGAGTCTTGAAGCGAGTCATGCAAAGCTGAAACAGCAACTGAGTGAACTTATGGAGGCTGATGAGAAAAGAAAAAAGAATAATAGCGACGCTATGGCGATGTCAGATGCCCAGTGGGGGTGTATTCCTGGGTACTTCACGACTGGGAGTCCTTACAAGAGCGTTCTGGATTGCATTGGACATGCTGTTCATGTGTGTAAGGCTTCCTCGGGTGAAATTGTATACTGGTAGGTGACTATTGAATATATATAGATATAATTTCTTGCACATATTTATCTTTTACTTGGCTTATTGCATACCTGAGGGCTGAGGCTGTCTTGGTTGGTTTACTTGGTTTGAGTTGTGAGTGGGTGTGGGAGTGCTGTGTTTGGTCAAACAGTTCTAATTCATGATTCAAGCTGAAAAGTGTTTGATGAAAGTGATTTTGGATTAGATGGAAGTTGAAATCATAATAAAGAAAAAGAATTGTCTGCATACCTGAGGCTATTTAAGTAGAGGAAGGCGAAAAATTGGAAATTTAGCTGGGTTTTGATTTTCCCTATGCGTATGGTGCACTGATTAATTTGTGGGTGAGATGGTCACGGTAGTGTGGCCACAGCAATTGTGAAGATGTTTTTCTATGCGAGATGATTCAGGATGCAGGTTTTCTGTAAAGTTTCTTGTATATCGTTATTTTTATATACTGGTTAACGCTTGTTGAAATGCTGCTGTTACATGCTAATTACACCACAAAATATTTATTGTGTATTTCTTGCTGCATTATTAATTGACAAGTTGGTTGATCCTCTGTTTTGGTACCATTTAGTAGTGTTTTGTTCAGCGATTGCTGAACTGAGACATATAATCCTACACAGTAATCAATAATACCATCGAACCTCTCATATACATCATGTGGTAGCTCCTTGGTTAGCCTAGGATTTTGTATAGTTTGTTTAGTGGTCATGGCTGGAAATGCATTGAGCAGATTGGTGAACAATAACTTAGAAACTACTGTGATTATTTTTCTTAGTTACGAAACGTTAAGTGCATTTAATGTAAGAACATTAACTCAAGAAAGTTTCTTGTATATGCAGATTACTGAATGAACTTTACTTTAACAACCAAAAACACTTAATTAATTAGGACATGGTGTTAAAAGCCAGCAATTATAGTGTCAAGGTTGGACTTAGATTGCTAATGAGTCCGGTACTGCAATGTTTTCTTGTTAGATTAACGTTTTAATTATTATTTTTTTATGCTAACAACGTATTTTAGTGCTTTTTTTGAATAATTTAGACTTGCATATGCATACAGAAGAAGCACTAATCTACTGCATGGATTGAATAATCAATTTTAGATTGCAATGTATCCAGATTTCTTAGGTGTCATGTGTGCTATTAAAACATGAAAAGTATCTTGGTTTTTGGCACAACGTATAGCTAAAAGAAAGAAAGGTTTCACAAAGAGAGATTCTTGATTTAATAAACTCACATTGTCAAAAACAAATTATGCCAATGTCCACTACTGTTTAAAAAATAAGTTAAACCAAACAAAATAATAAAATTCAAATTAAATAAAGTTCTCAAACCCCAAACCTAATAAATTACAAAACAACAACTTGCAGATTTAATATAGATAAAAAAAACAACCCTAGCTAGTTACAATAAGTTAAACTCCTATAAGATCAGGTCTATCAAATATGTTTGCAAAATTTTAATCTGATTCAATAATTAAATTATTAAAAATTATATCTATTTTTATTAATAAATTCGTTTGATTTTTATTAAGTTTTGCCTTGTTGTTTAACCTCATATGTCATAAATATGATATGATTAAATGTCTATTAACTTTTCAAGTAGAATATGGTTGAACTACTAAGATTTATATGCATGATGACACTTGCATTGTTATGTATTGTTCAGCTGCTTTGGATCACGTTCCATGTTGAAACATAAATTGTTTGTTTGATTTAATTGGTTCAAAAAAAGTTAAGGAAATGACTTGAACTTATATGAGATTGACCATAGCAATTGAATAAAGGCAAAATTCGTAAATGCAAATAGTGTTTTTCTTCTTTTTCTCCAATAGTTTTGCGATTATCGTAACTAGCATATTCTCTTTATGGATGGAACTAAGGTGCATTTTCATGCGTTACCCTTTAGCTGATTTCGAATTTCTATCAGGAATCGTTCTGCTGAAAATCTATATGGATGGAAAGACAGTGAAGTCATTGGACAAAGCGCTACTGAACTCCTTGTCGCTGAAGACCATTATGCACATCTAAAGAAGATAATGGAAAAACTGAGCTTTGGACAATCATGGTCTGGTCGGTTCCCATTCAAGAAAAGATCAGGTGACTTGTTTATGGCTTTGGTTACAAAAAGTCCATTGTATGAGGAAGGTGAGCTTGCTGGCATTGTTACTGTTTCAAGTGACGCAGCAATATTTAACACCGAAAACTCACAAAATCGTGCTAGATCACCGAGGCTAAACTTGAAAAAGATTCAATGGAGCCCACGACCACCAATTGCGCCAGTGACACAGATTGCATCGTCAGTTTCCAATCTGGTGCTTATGTGTATTACGTCATTAGAGTTGTGTCCATTTTTTGGGTTCAAGTTCTATTTAATTTCATTCTCAGAAGTTTTATGACCTCGTGCTGTTTAACCAATCAGGCCCCAGATTTTTTGGCTCGAAAACATGGTGATGACACATGCAATGAACATGGAAATTCTGGGGACAAAGGAGATACTGCAACAGATATGCGGTGCTTTAGATCGGAGATCCCTGGTGAACCAGTAAGTCTCAATTTTACTAGCCCTGGTTTAACTTTGTTTTAAAGGGAATCACTAAGCTGAAGTTTTATTATAGGAGGCGAAACTCAATTCTGATTTCCATGATGCGTAGAGCCCTCAAAAAGATGAATCTCTGTTCGAATTCGCTCAACGTTCTAAAGTTGTATTGACTTTACCATAGTTTCTTAAATTCCAATTACGCTTCCTAACATAACAACACTAGTTTGGAACTCATTATGCTTGAAATCATCTGGTCATCATTTACTTGTATACTTTTCAGTTCATGCAATGGCGCGGTTCTTGATGCATTTCTGTAAATTCATATATAATCCAATTGAAATATACACTTTACTTTTAGACACTAGTAATTTCATCCAAATATTTCTAATTTGATTTCAAACTGTACATTTTTTTTTTGTTTAAAATTTTTGATCAAAACCTTTTATTTCTTTTAGTTAGAATGGAATGCATTGGATTGATTTTTCTCACAAAATTTTGATCAAAACAATTTTTAATATTTAAATCATTAAAATTTACTTCACTGTAAAGGCTGTCTCTTTCTTTGTTACCTGTTTTACTAATTACTTGGTTGAAATGTCTAACAGGCTGCTAAGATACTGTTAGCAAACCTGAATATCAAGGGCATTGACAACATTGGAAAACATGACGATGCCAGTGCTCAACAACATGATCCTCGTGATGTTGCAGAAAGAAATGAAGCACCAAATGGAACGAACGATCTTGCAAGTTCAAAGGCATCGCCTTCTTATCACTGCAACAGCGATGCTGAAGGAGAAATGTCTCAGAATATAAATTCCTCCTCGGAATTCCGAAGAGAATATTCAAATGCAAATGCATATCCAATCAGAAGCCCTAATGATTCAGAAGAGAACTTTCCTATAGCCTCATCAACAGAATGCAATGGACGTCTGGGGTTAGATAAGCCAGGAGGTCAGCTGCAAAAAGTAGTTTGCCAACAGGAAAGGAATGAATTGGAGCTAGAAGCATCAAACTTGGAATCCAATGGGGTAGAATATGATGCAAAAAGACAGCCAGATGGTAGTTTTCCAAGGCACGAGAAGAGTGTCGGCAGCCTTGCAAGTGCATCAAGCAAAAGGGATCGCGATTCAAATTGCATGGTGGACTGTGAGATTCACTGGGAAGACCTACAACTGGGAGAGGAGATTGGTCGAGGTAAACTTCGAAGGCATGATATGTCTTTACCTTTGTTACATATGTTGTCCTTTAAACTGTTTACATATGAATGCATACGTGTAGGGCTAACTTGGCTTCCAGGGATGATATGATGAGATGAATTACTGTTTTTGAAGTGTTTTAGCAGATTTTGAGTAAATAAAACAAAAATAAACTTGATCTTCATTCAGAACAATTTGTGTTAATATTCAAAGTAAACATATTTCATTAAAACATAATTTTATGTTGATATTCAAGTGAACATATTTCATTAATGTAATGAGACCTTGTCAGAAGTGCTTGGCAAAAGTACAGTATCTGATCTAATTTTGATCATCTATCTGAACTCCATTATTATATTAGATGATTTTGACTATCATTAATTTTAGGCTATTCTTCTTAAAATTCCTTTCTTATCTTGGTTTTGCTCTACAGGTTCATATGCTGCTGTTCGTCGTGGAATTTGGAATGGATCGGTAAATTGATAACTGGAAAAGTTCTTCTGTGTTGTTCTGAGTTCCAAATTAATCTGGATCTAAAATGATTTTGGTTAACACCAGGATGTTGCCGTAAAGATTTATTTTGGGAATCAATACAAAGAAGAGACTTTACTAGACTACCAGAAAGAGGTGCTTAAACACTCAGCTTTCAATTGTTTGTAAGTTTCATTTGTGAAGGAAAGAACTGATCAATGGGTCTCATTCATGTAGATCAATATAATGAAAAGACTCAGGCATCCAAATGTGTTGCTATTTATGGGAGCAGTATATTCACCAGAAAGAATTGCCATTGTCACGGAGTTTTTACCCAGGTAATGACAGTGCTCTCTTTCTGAGGAGTGATCGCCCAGTGGTATTGTTTTGCTAGCTCTCTTTCAAAGTGACCAAGGCTTCCTAGAGCTGCCGTTTGGTGTTCTGTTAAAATCTAGTGATGAGCAACTTGGGGATGAAATCAATGCTGTCCTAATGGATGCGTGCTGTCCTACTGTATGTTCTGATTTCTTCAGAAAACTAATTTATCTTATATTTCTTCTGTTTTTCATGGTAGGGGAAGTCTTTTCAAGACACTACACAAAAACAGCCCAGCCTTGGACATTAGACGGCGTCTAAAGATGGCCCTTGACGTTGTATGTTATCAACGACTGTTTTATTTTAGAGCACAGATGTCGTATGTTATCAACGACCGTTTTATTTTAGAGCACAACGGGGGCTTGTGGAGTTATTCAACCCACAAGCAAGGCCTTACTGTTTGGACTTTTACTGCAGGCTAGAGGCATGAATTATTTGCATCATAGAAATCCACCTATAGTGCATGGGGACTTAAAATCTTCCAATCTCCTCGTTGATAAAAACTGGACTGTCAAGGTAATATCCAAATATGCCACAAGTTATTCAAGCACACTTGTCATCTAGCAATTGCTTCGAAAACCATCTGAAGTCTGTTTCAGGTTGGAGACTTTGGGCTGTCAAAGTGGATGAATGCAACATTCTTAACTGCAAAATCTGGAAGAGGAACTGTAATGATCTTAGCACTCTTCTTTAATTATTTCCTCCTAATGCTGAGGAAATTCCTTCACTTCCTTAGCTGCAAATTGTGCGAATATAATGGTCCTCAATGTTGTCAGTTTTGATGCATTCGTCTGCAAATGTTTTAACTGTGTTTTGTTTTCTGTGCAGCCTCAATGGATGGCCCCTGAAGTCCTCCGGAATGAACCTTCAAATGAAAAGTAATTCATGAAACTAAACCCTGTTAATCTAGAAATGGACAAGTGCTGGTTTCTTAATTTATGCTAAACAGGTTCAATGGAATTGCTTGCTTGCGTTAACCAACATAGAAAGTAGAGGTGACACGGTCCCTCTTTTATCGTCTAGCATTTTTAACTCTTGATGTATTGGACACCTTTTACCTACTGTCTAGTTCAGCAATCAAAAGTGTTCAAGGAGCAGAAATCATTAAACCTCATTATTAGCTAAATTAAAGAGAGATCGTTGTTTCTCCAATTTATTCATTATTAACTCACCAAAAATCTTCTGAAAATTAGTGTTTGGCTTGCCCCGCATCTGCACAGATCTGATGTGTTCAGTTTCGGCGTCATCCTCTGGGAACTCATGGCTGTTTCCATTCCATGGATCAAGTTAAATTCCTTACAGGTATATCCCTCGTAATATGCATTTCTCCCATATTACCTTAATCATCGACACATACATATCAAATACAGTACTGAATATTTCATAAAATCTCACTGAAAGTGTGTTTCTTCGATTTCAAAGGTAGTTGGGGTTGTAGGCTTCATGGATAGAAGATTGGAATTACCAGAAAGCCTTGATCCCAAGGTAGCCTCTATCATCAACGACTGTTGGCGGAGGTACTTTTCTAAATGCATATGCACCAACCTTTTTCTTTATTTTACTTTTAATGATGAATTGGGAGCTTTAAAGTTGATGGAAACTAATTTGGTTTGAATTATACAAGCAGTGATCCTGAACAACGTCCATCGTTTGAGGAGATAATACAAAGAATGGCAGGTGACATATCCCAGAGATGTTGAAGACTGAAAACAGCGATCGCTTGCAAAACAGTCCAAAGGCACGTCAATACTTGAGTAAGTACATAGAAGACAAGAAGCTATGAGGTTGTTTTGTCACTTTTGGGTGCGTGTTTTTAGAGTTTAAAAATGATGTAATAAAAAAAGAGATGACAAAAGGTTGAATATGAACGGTAAAAAATTGAAATTCTAGTTACCTTACCTGGGAATGCTGGGTACCAATAATAGAGAAAGTATCCCTGTGGCTGTCTTAGTGTCTACTTTTTTATTTAATTATAATTTTATCTTGTTTAATTACAAAATAAAATATAATTTTTATTCCTGGATCTCATCAATAAATAAGTTTTGAACTTAATTTTTGAGAAGTTACTTCACAAGTTTTTACTAAATCTTTTCTCTGTTTTTCATCGAGTTGGATTTTATTACTGTTGAGTTTGATACCCACAAAACCAAAATAACCTTAGCCTTCTTTGAACTAATAAAAAATCAACGCTGAGCAGTTTTTGCATAAGTTAAAATGTTGATGAGATCTAAGTTTTTATATTTATAAATTAAAAAATATTTTTTTTTAATTCACATCAATTATTTATATAATTTGATTCTTATCTTGATTTTATTTCTAAATTTTTTTTAATTGATATGGTTTCATATTAACAACACCATGGAAACTAGAGGTTTCTCTATATGAAATATGCTCGTGAAAGCATTACAATAAATTTAATGGGACGATAAAATTAATAAATTTAATGGGATGATAAAATTAATTTTATAATTTGCATGGTTATTTTTACAATGTATTAATAATAAAATACAAATTAAAATAATTGCAAATAAAAAATTATACATGTCATTTTTTATCATTTTATTATTAATATTAATTTTAATTATTGTTTTAATCAAATATCTTAAACATGTTTTTTATTGAATAATAATTTTAATTAAATATATATATTTTAATCAAAATAATTATAACTAAAAATAATTTTTCTAAACTTTTTTTCATATCATAATTATAAAAACTATCGAAATAGTATACACACTCTCAAAATAGGTGAAGTGGTTCGTGGTCGAAGTGTGTCTATCTAGCATGGAGTTTTTGAGGTATGTTTATCCACTTCTTAATTAAGGTTTTGTTTATTTTTGCATTTTAAAAGTATTTTTAAAAAAATTAATTTTTTTTTTATTTTTTTACTTTAAATTTATATTATTTTTGTATTGTTACATATTTTGATATGGTGTTAAAAATAATTTTAAAAAAAATAAAAAAATATATTATTTTAATATATTTTTAAATAAAAAACAATTATAATTATATAAGTAGTAGAATTAAGTAGGCTATAATTTAATATGGGCTCGGATCAGCAAAACTCTCTGGGAATTGTGCCATCTTCTAGAGTGCAGTAGAATTATGAGTCACATGATGTGCCCGAGTTCCTTAGAACCTCATCCTCGAACCTGTTAGTCTTGGGCCCAATAATGGGGTGCAATTCCCAAGCCCCCCCCAACAGGCATAGTTCCCAGTGATTTCCAGAACTGAGAGTGTAATTTTTCTCATCTTTTTTACCTCGTTACCCTGTGAATTGTGAATGTGCTATGTCCTAATCTTAGTTAATGTTGTCGGGCATATTTGGAGGATCTCCCGACAGCTTTTTTGGCCAGCATGAATCCCTGAACATTAGATAATCTTCGTACCTAAATTGATACTTGTTATATGTCGTTCTTAAATTTCAATGACTTCAAATAAAAAGCATGTTCACCAAGCAACGAACCAAGAAAGAATATTAACACTCTTGAGTTTTGATCAAACAATCTACACGAGTGCCATCTATTCTAACAAAAAAGAAGAGGGCCAAGCTCAAATTATCCAGTCCCATTGCTCTTGCTGTGTTTAGCAGTTGTAATAAAACAGGGCTAGACGGGCAGTATGAGCCCTGTCTTCCTATCCTGTGCATTCGTGGGACTTTCATGTGCCCCTGTGATTTCAGTGTTTCATCTAGTTCCTCAAAAACATTGAATCAGGCATTGACCTGCAGTATTCACACCTGCAGAAAATGTCAACACATATCCACCCCTGTGAACAAATGTTTGGGAGGCAAAGAACGTGCGTTGGTTTGACCAGGTCTCCTACTTTGACTCTCTCAAGTAGTGATCCAGTAGGGCTCCATAACACTTTCAATTCAACGTGTCATGATTACAGTGGCTAAATATATGATCGACTCTTTTTTCTTTAATTTCAGTATTTGATATTCTGGTGGGGTGAGGATTCTTCTGCATAATCGGATAAGTTTGTACGATAAGTACGTACGAGGACTGGATCATTCGTGTCCTTGCTAGAAACTCGACCAGAAATTATATCCTTCTGACAACATGATCTTGTAGTTGCATCTTGTTGACAAGATACTGTAACCATCTGATACCATAGCTATCTGTTTCTTCTTTTTCTTTCCTTTCCTTTCCTTTATAGTGGAAAAAAACAGAGCTGTGCTTAAATTGACCGCGTGCCTTTCACACTTGTTATATAAACAGGCAACATAAAAGCAGGATTCACCGTGTAATAACTATTTTATCTTTCTTATAAGAATTGCATGTATTTTGATTAGGGATATTTTGATGTTTTTACTATGTGTACTAATTATTACTAATTTGTTGGGGTATTTATATTTGTTCAATGTTTTATGAATACTAAAATAATAAAATAGTCCAGGACTAAAATTAATGGTATCGGGTAAGGGTATTCACATATTTTTATTTTTTAATACATGATATAACTACACACATATCTTTTAATTTCAGATATTAAATTCATTTTAGTCGCTGGTATTTGTATCTTTTAGTCTTGGTTTTAGTTGTTAATAATAAGTTTGGTTTTATATTTTAGAGCTTTTTATTTGAAGTTTTTTTAGGTTGATAAATTGCTTTATAGTTACTCTGAGAGTGTATAATTTTTTTTTAATTAATATAGGTTTTTAAAAAAATTAAAATAATTTATTTCCCTTGATTTTATAGCTATCATTATAATGGCCAGATTATGAGCAGTCAAGCAACACCTTATTTGTAATCTATCGCCTAATTTGTTTATTTTTTAACAAAACCCTTTAAAAAGCCCATGAGGGTGGGTGGGCTTTTTTTCATATGTCTAGATGCTTTGGGTTGTTAAGCCCACACACATGAGCTTCTGGTATTATTATTATTATTTTGCAATTATTTTATTCTTTATTTAGGTGCAGCATAAAATATTAAAAATATTATTAGATCAGATGCCGTTGAGCCTTTGATGCAAATCATTAATTTGATGGGTCACGACACAGCTTTTATTTTTGTTTTTTAATGCATTTCCCCCTTAATTTCAAAAACAAATAATGTAATTTATTCCTTTGTTATCATTTATTTTATTTATTCAACTTCAAATAAATAAATAAAGAACAATTTTATTATTATTTATCACATAACTTAAAAATTATATCTAATTAGAATCATATTTTGATCTATGTTTTAATTTTTTTTCTGTTGATTAAAACTCACTAAGATCAATATAGTATGAAGTATTTTAAAAGTTTTAACTTAAAATCTTTCATAAGTCTTTTATTTACTTCAAAATTTAATCTAATTTGTAGGTAATTAAGATGCAATATCGTTCCAACCAGGAAGAGAACAAGGAAAGCAAAAATAAAAAGATTAAATCCATTCAAGTTAATTTACTATAATTGTATCTATTGCATGGGTTATAAATTTAACCTGAATTGATATAATTTATTTTTATTTTATTTATTCACTTACTTGATTTTTTTAATTTAATTACTTAGCAATTTTTTATTTTTAGATTTAAAATAGAGTTAAACGAGACTCAAATATCACCTGAAATTGTTTCAAAACAGATAACTGTTTGAGATAATCAATCTTTTTATTGTTCGCTTGCTTGGTAGAATAAGTTAAACCAACTATTTTTATTTATTAACATCTATTATAATTAATTAACTAATTTGAATATACATTAAATTTTTAATTATTATTTTAAATAGTTTATCCTCACAGGCAAAAATAACACCACTTATATTTTCTAATACTGTTATATATTTTTCATTTGACCTCAGCGAAACGCGGTTCCAGAGTCTAGTTTCTTGCTTTTCCTCGAGCCCTTGGAAGCTCTATCAGGGTAAATATTTCAGTGCAATTGCAATTCATTCTACTTTGAAACCTTCCCGATTACGTTTTTTACCAAGTGGACTTCAAGCCTTTACATCAATATTTTAGATATTATATTACATCAAGCCTTTCAGGGGACTGCAACTGGAGACTCTCCCTCCTTCCCTTTCTCAGATTCCAAGTCTTTAGCTGCCGTAGGTAGGGACCCCTCCCCTTCTAAATGATCCTAGATCTTATAATTATAGATTCGGATCTTATTATTCTTAGATTTGTTATTTTTGATGCGATCTTTTATCCCTCGAAGAAAGGATCTTTGTTTATGTTCATCTGCTCGCTCTTTTAAATTTTTCCCAAAGATCCAGTTGAATTCTCGGAGATAGACTTTTTAATTGAATTGTGATTGCAAATTATTTTTAAGTTTACAGGGTATTGAAAAATGCCAGAAAAATAATGATTTTTAAAAATAACGGGAAACTTCAAGACAAAAGGCTGGTCCCGGCTTTAGTTTTTTCAAGCCGTGGTATTTTTTTAAAATGAAATTACCTCTATTATTTAGAGAGAGAAAAATTGTGTGGTGGTTTGAAAAGACACCCCTCGTCTGTGGTTACGAGTTTTTTCACGTAGGCTACAGTTTCTGGTGAGTTGAAACGACATAACAGCCTATGACATTGTAGGTGAAACTCTGGCAGATCCCTACAGAGTTGTGAAAAGATGGCTTGTAATCCTTTTCAGTGTTCCATTTACCAACCGCTGGTAGCAGGGATTGCTGTTTTCAATGAGACCCGTGAACTCCAGAACTCAAAAGAATCACTCAGTGAAATTAGGATCAATTGGGCAGTACACAAGGTTGAAAGTATGTGGGAGCGTAAATTTTTGGTAAAATATTGTGATTTTAATGTATAGAAGTGTAATTTTATTAAATATTGTTATTTTTTAGTATAATGAGATAGTTTTGATGTTTTGAAATAATTATATTTAGTAAGTATTGTGTGTGTTTTTAAAGTACAACATGGTAAAACTATACTGTAATGCTATTTCATTAAGTTCCTTTGAAATAGTGTTATTTTATCAAATTTTTATGTTTACTTTCTGATTTCACAATAC